CTCTGCTATGTCTTGTAACATCTGAACAATTCTTAAAGCAGTTGTAGAGTCCAAGCCAGAGGTCGGCTCATCGAGAAACAGGAGGGAAGGGTTGATTATGATCTCATTGCCTATACAAACTCTTTTCCTCTCTCCACCTGACACTCCCCGGACAAAGGAGCCACCAATCATTGTGTCTTGGCACCTGCACATGTATGGTTCTCCTATTCATCAGCCTCAAACTGAGAAGCAAAGTTAGTACTAGATGCTTATTATTACACTCCTTGCTATCTGCAGACTGAAGGTAACTAATAATTGCTATAATCCAAATCAAGTAATAGAGTTTCTACCTCTCCAAACCTAGTTCATATATCACATCCATTGCTCGTTTTTCCTTTTGCTGTTTTGTCAAAGTCTTTGGCAGTCTTAGTAGTGCTGCATAGGTCAGTGTTTCTTTCACTGTAAGGTGAGGAAACAGAACATCGTCTTGAGTCACGAATCCTATCCTGTCATTTATTACCATGTTAATGTACCGTTAGTTTGTGCTTATCAGTGCTGAGAACAAGCCAATACATTTGCAAACTGTTTAATGTCGGCTCAGTTTTAGTCAAAATTAAACTTGCTAACTGAAAAAAATACTTGATTAGCTAGACAAGCTGAATTCAAACAGTTGGCAAATAGTTGGCTTGAAAAAAGTTTAAGATTCTTACCTGCTCTTTAAAAACTTGGAGTAAGGTCTGTCGTTGTAAGTAATCAGACCACCAATATTTGGCTGATTTATCCTGCCACCAAGCAGATTGAGCAGTGTTGTTTTCCCACTACCAGAAGGTCCCATAAGTGCCAAAACCTCCCCAGGATTTACTGAGCCAGTAATCCCATTCAAGATATCCTTCTCTTCAGTCGATGTCATCCCTTTTATAATCACTTTGTATGACACATCTTTGAACTGCAAATTACAGTTGGAAACAAGCCTTCATTTAAATAAACTGACAGAATTTTCTTGCAGTTAACATATCGATATAGATATAGCCTAGCGTAGCAAGAAAGATGTTAGAACACCAAATGCAGGACTCAGAGCATTCTCTAGACCCAGTATCAAAGTGATATAAAATGAAACTTTTTAGTATCAAATGCTGTTTTTTTTTTTTTAATCTTCAGACATGTTTCTCTTTAAGGGACAGTTGGATTGGTTAAGTGTGTTTCTTTGGAGGTTAAAATTAACCGAATGTTTCACAGTTTTGACTGTCTTGTCTTGTACATAAATGTCATATAAGGTGAGACTTCTGTACAAGACTGAACCTGACCCTGCAAGCCATGTTCTATGAAACGCAGTTGATCTTTAGATAACTCTCCATCCTTTCCTGTCCAAATACATAAGTGTCGAAAATAGAAATCAATCCAGGCTCCATTGTCAACCAAACAAGTGCCAGATCATGTCGCAGTGCTTGAAGATGCAGTTAATAAGCGATGGAAAAATGTGGAAAGCTCTGCCATGGGAAAGACTAGTAGTGACTTACCTTCAGATAAATTGGCAAGGTTGGTTCTGTTTGAAACTTCGGCTTCTTGGTGCCCGCTTCAAGATCATCAGCTGCAACAACAGAAATTTTCAAGACTTTTTGTGCATTTGAAGTTGAAATATGTTTGAAAATGCAGTGCCTTGTTCTACCTGAGCTTGATCTCTTCTAATTAAGGGTGGTGAAGCTTTTCTCTTTTGGAATTCTATTTTGATGTTTTTCTTGTAAAAGGAGGAGAAGAAGCTCTTCATTTTTCTTTTGTGCATTCAATTAATAAAAACTTGTATCTTTTGTGTGTGTGTGTGTGTGTGTGTGTGTGTATGCATTCAATTACAAAGAAGAAGAAGAAGAAGATGAAAAACTCAACCTCACCATTCTTGCTGACGATTCTGCTCATAATTTTCCAGATGATTTTGACAGAAAGTATACTAGTTAACAAAGATGGGTTTTCAATTTTATTTTCATATAAGTTACAATGCGTGTGTGTGTGTGTGTATATATATATATATATATATATATATATATAACACCATCGACTTAAGGTAGTTCTATGTTAAGATTGAGACGTTTATGGGTGCTAGGAAGGATCAATTATTAATCTGAAATACATTTCCTCTTTTTTTTTTTTTTCTCCACATGAATTTGACAGCACCTTCTTTTTAGGGTACCTTGACCCAGCTAGCACCCATTTTGCACAGTCATGCAAATAAATGATTGTGAGTTGTGCTTGTATGTGTAAACACATCACAATCTATGGTCCATAAAATAATACCATTTATTATTGATGTCTTATCATATATCTTTTTAATAATAACTTTTAAGTTTTTTACAAAAATTAATAATTTAATTAGTTATTCTGCATATTATATAATTTATTAAAAATAAAGTATTTGTATCTTTAAAAAATTGAATAAAATTCTTACTAATTTTAATTAATTAAATTTTGTCTAGTTCTACTTACAATTCCCTAATTGCTTAAACCCTTTTTACACTTTAATTTGTACTATTTGCAAGAGAATTTGTGAATATTTTTTTATTTAATTAAAAATATTTATTGTGTCAAATCATATGCATCTGCATAAATTAAAATTTTACTAAATGTATGTCCAGACTGAATCATATTCCGAAAATTGCCAAACCCTATCTTTTGGAATTTCTGACAAATTGGGACACCTGGTAGACTAATTTTCTCTTCAGCAACACAGTTTGTCAGGCAATGCAGTTGTATGGATAACGATATATCTATATGTATCTATATATATATATATGTGTGTGTGTGTGAGTTTTATGTCAAAACATCAATTAATTCTTGTGATTTAAGGGTATTGTTTGAAATAAAATGAACTATTTTCGTAAATTCACTTTAAAATTATATGAATTCTATGATAATTTACCGTAGTTTAAACATAATCAAACCTGGGTGATTTAAAATAATTTAACGTATACAATACTTGAAAATAAAATTAATCTAATAAGAAAAAATTAATACATAATCGGCTCTTGTTAAATATCAAATATGATCTGATCTACACGGTAGGTGACAAAAGAGTACCAAACACACAGCCTAAGAGAGTACTGAGAAGTCTAAAATCTTTCTTCCTAAAAAGCTGACAGTTTTGGTTTCTTGTCATTTAATAACGCAATTTCACACAACATAATTTATTTTATTTAAAAAAAAAATTGAAATCAAGACCAGACCAGAACAACTAAATCCAATCGCACAATATAATTTTAAGTTATGAATTTTTTTTTTTCTTCTTTATTAACAACCACAAAATTAATATTATAATGTATAAATTTATGTCCCTTTTTCTGAAATTTTTTATTTTATTTTTAATGGGCAATGCGCCTTATTGTCTTTTATGATAGGCCAAAATCATATCCATATCTATCAAACAATACCCATTTTCCCACTTTTTTTTTTTTCTCACAAGAAAATAATATATATTTCTTACCAAAAAAGAAAAAGCTAATACCCATTTATCTTTATTTTTTAATTCTAATGGCTGTTATATATGTATATATATATTATATTACTAATAGGTTAAAATAAAAAAGAAATAATGTTATTAAAAAAAAGTAGAGATTTATTTTAAAGAGTAATTAAAATGAAATGCCAAATCACACCCCATATATTATTTGCCAAGAGATATGCACCGTGCGAATTTGAAACCAACCCATTAATGCATAAACTCATGTGTATTTTTCATTTGGAGTTGTGCCGACAATAAATAATTAAAAGAAAATAAAAAGAGTAATTAATATTGCATCAAAATTAGCGGCCACATTGTAATAATATAGAGCTATACTTACGTGTATCATCATCGCTAAACGGCTTGGAGTCGGCGATCTCGTCGGGAGGCATGGTGAAGCCGGTGAAAGAGAACGACAGGCCAAGAGAAGCGCTGGACGCTCGGCTGAGAGCCGCGCCGCTGCTAACTTCGTCCAACTCCAACTTATTCAGCTGAGCGCTCCTCGACTTCCTAATGTGCGTGTTTTTGCTATTGCCGCCGCCGCGTCCCGGCGAAGCCGGAATCATAAGCCTCCGGCTCGACTTCCTCGAGAGAGTCCCGCCGCCTTCTGATTTTATCCCGTCGCCGTCGGTCGCATTTGGGGGTGACTTCAACGCAGCCGTTGCAATCTCCAGTAGCTGGTCCGACTTTGTCCTAACCAAGCTGGTCGTCGATGAATTCGGCTTCTCCATGACTAGTCTGCGAGCTCTGGATTAATACCTGAAATTACTTACACATTTTTCAAATTAAATATTTTTTAAATAAATCAATAAAAAAATTAAAATAATATAAAATTATACAATCATTACATCGCATATACGCATAACATATACTTGATGCATCTTGCCTGCCAATAACCGTTTTCATCTCTAAGTATACATGTATCTACATATATATATATATATATTACATATATACACACACACACAAAATTAGAAGGAAGAAGAAAATTTAAATGAGATATAAGAGAGAAAGATTCATATACATACATACATACATCTATACATATAGTTAATTAAGGATATGAAACCAGAACATTCATATAAAAACTAACGAATATACATATATATATCTATACAGTTAATTAAGGATATGAAACCGGAAGGTTCATATAAAAACTATCGAGTATACATGTATATATACGTGTATGTATTATATATAGTTTACATTATCTCTATATATAGTTATTATCTTGTGTGGCTGGAGAAGAAAAACGCTTCAAGTAGAGAGAAGAGAGAGTACCAGAGATAGAGAGAGAGATGACTGTAATTGTTTATGGAGGAGGTGTAATGAGTCTCAACTGTATAACGCACCAGCTTCGCACTATTTATACAAGGAGCAATTAAGAAGGGGGGAAAACCATGAAATTACACTAATACCCTCCACAAATTGATGAATTTCCATAAATACCCCGGGACCCCATAATTGTTATGATAATTACTTAACAGTGCATAAAAAATCAAAGCCGTATGATGAGTACGTTACAGTGAATCTGGTACGCCCATCGTACTAATCACGATCTCTGCACTCTATCATCCTTGTCGTACACGTGTCCGGACAGCGATAGATTTTCTTCCGGACGTTTCCTTTTCTTTTTTCCTCCTGTCAGAAATAATTAAATTAAACAGTTTTTTTTTTCTTTTAATAAATTAAATTATGGGTGTGATTAAATTAGGATGAACATATGTATACATATTTGTGCGGGTGTACGTATACGTGTATATATATATATATATGTATGTATGTACGTATGTATTGGCTAGTTTAGGAAACCTTTTGGCATTAAATGTGGAGTTTTAACCTTATGCGGGGGTGGCGAGCAGTGATTATCAGAGAGTGTATGAAGAGGCGGTGTAGGTTCAATTTCATGTTACCTCATGAGCAGGGCATGGTGCATTAATTATGTGTTCTTCTTTTCCTTTTGGAGTTTTGTAGGAATCGTATCCAATTTTTATTTTTATTTCGTCTGGAAATTATTCAGTACATCAAATATATGTGCACTCGTTTTTGCATTGTGTACGTTGTGTATACATATATATATATATATATACACACACACATATATGTAAATGTGGGCGTGTAAGCTATACTTCCATAACCAAAGTTTCATAATATTTTATGAAAGTTTGATAACATGGTTTATTTTTTTTATCATTTACATAAAATTATTTATTGGGTATTTAGTCTAATTTTGATTTTATATATCTTTAAATTTCACGTATTTATGTAAAATTAAAAACCCAGCTGTATATATGTGTGTGTATATATATATATATATATATATATATATATAGTTGTAAATATATAGGTGTAGAGTGTAGATATCTGTGAAATATTATTAACATAAATAACAAATTAAATCTTAATTAAATTAGTTGGAACCAATATAAATAATAAATTAGACCCTTTAAAAGACTTATTATTTAGCAATGTGTATGTCTTAGAGATATATACATACACGCATTCACTATATATATATATATCAAGAAATTTAAATCTTATAGTTCACGTAATAATACATATTTCATTTTGTATTCTTCTTAATTTTCCTTTTTTAGAAAATCGTACGGGCGAGGGAATCCAAAACATTAATTTAAATTTATTTTTAAGTTAAGAAATAAATGTACACACAACTAATTAATGCTACACTAAGTGCCATAAAATGTACGTACGTACTTATATAAATACAAATATAATTTTATATAATTAATAATATAATAATTAGTGATTAAATTTTTTATATTTTAATTAAAAATAATAAATTTAAATTTAATTCAAAATATAAAATTAAATAGAATGGAAAATTTAACTAAAATTACAACACACAAATATTTTATTTAATCTTAATAAATTTATTATATTTTTTTATAAAATAAATATTTTGAACATTATAATAATCAAATTGGTGTTGAATTTCAATAAATATATTATATTTATGAAATATATATGTGAACATATATGGTATTATATATGTGTGTCCAAAATGTCATTGGGAGGTAAAATTAATGAAGAAGGTAACGTGGCAAACTCAGCCAGAAACCGACCATTATATTGTCATTATGCATTTGTCATGCATGCTTAATTACTTGTCTCCAACCTCAAAGACATACATCACCTTTTTCTATATATATATATATATATATATATATATGTATGTATACGAACAATTAATGAATTTTCCTACAAAATTAAATTATATTATATCCATTATCGTGCAATTTTAACATATATATATATATATATATATTAAATTTTACATGCTTGAAGTATAACATTTGGTAATTTTTGTAGATAGAATAAAAATAAATTTGGAAATCAAATTATCAAGTAAATGTTGATCACACATTCATATACATACATAACAATTAATATTACGTGCGAGTATATATATGTGCGTGTGTATATATATATATATATATCATTTATGCAACTTGCATGCATTTGTGCATAAATAATGATATAAATTTGAATACAAGTACATATATTTGAAGATATATATATATATATATATACACACACACATATAGACACCAAAAAGATTGGAAAAGGAAAACACATAAAACATGTCGCATATGTTTTTAATAATTAATGAGAAATCTCAATTGGGGTACTCTATATCATCATAAAAGTACTTTACTTTCCTATTTTGAGTATTAAATAGGAATTTTCTTAATTATTGTGGGCTATCGAAGTGATTTATGATAGATATATACACACAAACACACACATATATATATATATATTTATATTTATATCGCCTAGCTACATACCCATTAATTGGTAGGGTTAAAAGTTTAAAAAAATTTTAACTATTAAATTGAGATACTTAAAAATTAGTATTTATTAAATATAAAATAAAATGCATCACGACTTCTTAATTTATTTGACTTTTGTCTCTTCTTTTATAAATAAAACGGGGATGGTAATTTGTGGGATGGGGGAAGGGTAGAATGGTAAAATCAATAGGAGGGTGAGTGGCCGAGAGGCGGAGAGGAAAGGGTGTGGTCAATAAGTGGCCCCCCCCCACCCCCAAAAGGACAGTTTTGGTAGTTGCCGATAAGGTTCTGTCTGTTTCCTACTGTTGCTTTTTTCCCATCTCTCACTTCTACTTGCCACGTGTCATCTTCTCATATTTCTTACTTTATTTATTTAGTTTAAAAAATGTTTTTTATTAAAAAATATATATATCTTATTTGATCTACAAGACAATAATGTGGTATGTTGTTAAATAAATATTTAATAATTTTATATTTTAAATCAAAGTAGTATTCAAATATTATGTGGTATTTTCAAATTAGGTTTGTATATTTTGTTAAATAAATTTGCATATTTTTAACGGGTCTAATTTTTTATAAACTTTTTTAGTTAATTTAAATTATTTATTATATAAATAATTGATAAATATTAAAATAATAAGAAGACAATAATTATTAAATATATTGAGATTTTACCTATTATATAATACGAGGATAAATATAATCTAATTTATATGATTCTTGAGTTAATTTATTTAAAATTAGTAATTGACTAAAAATTTATTTAAAAAAAATTAATTAATTTATATCCTTTAAATTTATTATTATTTTAATTTCAACAAATTTAAATTAAACACTTACCCATTTACATTTGCTTCTTATTTATATAAAAATAATAAAAATTCAATTAATCCCTACACGAATTCTTTAGTGGACTCAACAAAATAATGGGATCCTCGTGTATTTCCAATTATAATTATTCATCATAATCTCACTAATAAAATTCCACTTAGATGTTAAATCATGTTTGATTTGAAAGCATAAATTTCACAAAACAAGAATATTATATATATATATCTCTCTCTCTATATATAATTTAATATATATGTATGGTATAATATAATGCAAAAATAACATAAAATTGAAATTATAGTATATTTCCTCGCCATAAATTTAATGTAATATGATATTTTCGAATATTTTAATGAAATAAAATGAATTATAAATAAGAAAAACATTATAATATTCGTAGGAGGGCGGTGCCGCCACACGGAGGGTAAGCCACGTGACAAGGACGTGACCGTGGTAGGGTGACACACACGCGCACTCATTCACGTAAAGGTCCCCTTGACACTTTAAATTTTTAGTTTTATAAAGAATTTCTTTTCGTAATTATCTTACACATTATTAATATAATTTACAAAAAAAAAAACGAGGATGTGCCACGTGTAGGGTCAGAATTAAGGAAGGGACACCTCGGCATACAAGTCAGCGACGGTTGGTAACGGAAGGCAGTTGACCTGACACGTGATCGTCAGTTTGTGGTGCGAGTAGGCGGAGGCCGCCACGTGGAGTTCGAGGTGGCGTACGTGATTGGACACTAATTAATTGGCGTTTCCTTGTTATTTTTTTTGTTTTAATTTTAATTTTAGTAATAATTTTTATATATTTTTAATAATTAAATTGAATTATTAATTTTGAAATTAAAAGGAGGGTAATAATACGGGGGTATATTTGTCAAAGTGAGGACTCCAGTCCCCAAGGGGGTACTCATTGACTTGGGCTGACGACAATAAAATAGGAAAAATCAAATGTGGGCGACAACACTGTGTGTCTCTTGATTTGATATTCAGACAAGGAGGGCACAGAAGAAAGTAATAATAAATATATATATTAATAATTCAAAATATAATTTAATTTTAATTACCCTTTTGTCTGAATAAAATAGATTTAAAATGTAATTTATTATCTTAATTTTTAAAAGATTAATTAGTTTTCACTGAAAGTAAAAAAAAAAAATAAATAAATAAATAAAATGTATGGTGTCATATTCCGCAATTAAATAGAGGGAGGTAGAAAGAGACATGAAAGAGAGTTTAGGTGGTGGGGACTGAGACAGGAGCTTTCCTTCTTCACTTAACCCTTCCAAAAAGGCGTGAATAAAGGAAGGGTTTTAAGGTATATATGGTAATGAAAAAGATGGGTTTCCTAAGCTGCTGCTTTCATGTGTTTTCTTGGTCTTTGGGTTAATTAAATATTGTATACATACATACATATATATACACATATATTTCTATAACTCCATTTTTGCTTACCATTAAATTAAGCTCAAGATGACAAGAAAGGTACAAGCTTGGAGAACTATAATTTCACTTTTTTTTTTTTTGCTTTGATTTTATTTCACTTTGAAATTTTGTCATTTCACTGTTAAACTTTCTGATGGTATTCAACCATCAGTATAAATTATACTAGTTGAAATGGCAATAAGATCAAATTGTATGAACTGAAAATTTACTTTCTTTTTTGGGGTATTCTGATGGAGTATCTCACCAGGGAGAGAGTCTCTAACCAGGACAAGTAGGGTGGCTTTTCCGGAGCTGCCATCCCTGAAAAAAGCAACCCACCAGCAAAAGCACATGCAATTCATGAAACCATTTTACAGAAGAAAACAAAACCCTTTGCAGGTACAGTTTTCCTGATACAACACAAAAAGCCCCGAGTAAATGTTTACAGAGCCAACTTGTACAAAGACCATAAAAATGGAGCATCAACTTGAGCTAATACAATATTACACATACATGCTAGTACACGATATAAGACATCAAAGAACTCGTGTTGGTCACGGCAGTCCACATTTAGAATTTGCACATCCAATATTATATGAGCTGTTGTAGAGCTTTAACCTAGTACTGCATTTATAATCTAAAGGCAATGAACCAACCAGGAAAACCCAAGTACTGTTAACATCAAAGAATTTTATAACGAACCAGATGCATGCATTTTCAAAAATATATTCAGACATTTCAATTATGGTGGTCCTTTTATGATGTAGAATAGCAGAGAAGTCAATAATAATACACAGAATACTGAAAAAACAAAAACAAATCCATAACTGTAGTGATGTAAAATACATCTGGAATCACGTAGTTGTTAGACATGATTGACAAAGAAGTTTATGTGGTCATAAATTTTTACCTATTTGTGGATCAAGCTACAGGTTGCGGAACAAACAGTTCATAGATTAAGAGACAACTTTTACAGATAAGGAAATTACCAATTAATTCTGATCATGAATGTGCCTGATAAAGAGAATTACAAAGAAAAGACAATTATCAATTGGTAGGTCCGTCAATGAAATAAATGAAGACAAGAAGTCTCAAATCCAACACACAACAACAATTTGTCAAACTGGCATTGTGGACTAACTGTGCCTTACTCGTTGTCTCTGAGAAAAGTATGGAATAGTATTCCTGCAGAAATATACTCATATGGTTTCCAATGCAAACAAACATATATGATGACAAAATAACATCCACCAAGACAAGCAGAAACTCTAAGCAATCCATTTTAATTACCATAGATGTCTCTAAATTCTTTTGCTTCTTTGTTCAGTTGGAGTTGATTTACCAGGAATTATGCAACCTAGAACTGAGGCTATCAAATACCATGTTCATGAAAATAAATCATGCAGGTAAGTAACACATCCAGACAAAGAAAAAGTATAAGCAGTTACAGATGAACGAAAGGAAACATGATTCCAAGAGAATGAGATCTCCAAAAAATCTGTTCGCCGTGCTACTGGGAAAAAGTTGACTTCTTAAGGAAATAACAATTCTGTACTCTGAGCTTTCTTTTATGAAGTAATAGGTTCCTTGTATCTCTAATTAACCTCCTTAAAGCATTAAGCAGCATATTCATTGCTCTTTCAAAAAGTTCAAATATAAATACTCCGAAAGTGGAGAAATCAATAAAACATAACAGCTACCCAAAAAATAAAACTAAGTGGTACTATTAACAGTATTTCCCCTTCCCAAAAGAAAAATTGAGATCTATTCAAACTGAATATACCCAACAGAAAACCAAAAGGCCAACACAAGAAACACTAAATTGAAAAAGACCCTTTCCCTCTCTGAAGCCTGGTTGATCTTTACAACAATATGCACCCCTATTCAGTTCTTAATGAACAGTTGTTAGTTACAAGATACATATAAACTATTTGATTCTGTTGTTTTTCCACGTACCAGAAATAGGTATTAAAGCTTGAAAAACATCTGAGTCTGACACCTAATTTACTTTC